CTACATGGAGCCCTCCACCCACGGGCGCCTCTGGACCGGGGCCCACCGCCTGTTTGGCGCCGTGGAGCACCTGCAGCTGGCCAACTCCTACGGCCTCTTCCGACGGATGACTGGCGTGGGTGGGCGGCCCGAGGTGGTGCTGGAGGGCAGCTATGACGGGCACCATTGGACGGTGAGTGTCCACGGGCGGGGAACCCCAGGGGAATGGGGCTGGCAGGGAGGATCCGGGGGAACCCAGGTCTAGCAGCTCTCCCAACCTGGCTGGGCGTCGCTCGCAGGAGATGGAGTTCATGTACAAGCCTGGGAACGTGAGCCGGCCGCCCCCCCTCGTGGCGCCCCACCAGCCGCGCCTCGACTGGCAGATGTGGTTCGCCGCCCTGGGCCCGCACACGCACAGCCCGTGGTTCACGAGCCTGGTGCTCTGCCTGCTGCAGGGCAACGAGGCAGGTGAGGTCAGAGCAGGGGGCCGGGCTTGCTGGGGGCCTTGTGGGCGGGGCTGAGGGAGCGCCCGCTGAGCCCACTCCCCCACAGTGATCCGCCTCATCCAGAGCGACGTGGCGAGGTACCCCTTCCACAAGCAGCCGCCCACCTACGTGCGAGCCCAGCGCTATAAGTACTGGTTCTCACAGCCCGGGGAGCCGGAGTAAGGCTGGGGCGCCCGGCGGGGCTGGGGGCTGGGGGCTGGGGCCTGGGGGCTCCCCATCGCCTGAGCTGAGCTCCCTGTCCTGTTGCAGCCAGTGGTGGCGTCGCCAATGGGTGGAGGAATTCTTCCCCGCCGTGTCCCTGGGGGATCCGACGCTGGACACGCTACTCAAGCAGTTTGGTTTCCAGGTGGGAAGGTGCTAGCCAGACTGGGGGTGCTGGCAGGGGTGACCTCCACCCCCAGGGACCACCTCTGCTGACCCCCCTCAATCCTGCCCCTGCAGGACAAGAGCCCACGCCGGGCCCGCAGCTCCGGCAACGCCCTTGCCCAGGCCCTCCACTGGGTCCGGAAGCAGCTGTCGCCCCTGGAGGCCCCCACCCTGCTCTTGGGACTCATCCTCACAGTGGGAGCCATCAGGGTCCTGCAGGCTCTGCTGGGGCCCCGTCCCTCCCGAGCCGCCCCTCCCCACAGGGAGGAGAAGCCCAGGCCGGCGCCCAAGAAGGACCCGGCAGCGGCCACGGACCAGGCTGCACCAGCCCCCAACAGCAGCAACAGTGGCTCCCAGACTGCCCGGCGGAAAAAGTAGCCACGTTCTGTCTGCCACACGCCCGGAGGGTCGGGATCCCCCCCACCTCTGCCCTTCTGAAGCAGGACATGGCCCAGCCACAGTGCCTTAGCCGGTGGTCCTGGCAGACGCAGGCTGGGGTGCTGCCCAGGGGGCAGGCTCTGGCTGCCCTACTGCTTCAAGGGTCCACTTGTCCCCCACTGCGCCAACCACGCCCCCCCACTAGGGCACCCTCTGACCTGGATAGTGGCCCCGGAAGTGGGTGTGACACCCGCTCAGAGCCCTTCCCAGCACGTTGTGCAGGACGGGGTCCGAGTCCTCAGAAGCCGCATCTGATGCCAGCCCAGCCCATCATTCGGTTCACGAACCAATAAAGGTTCTTCATGCTTAACCCCGCGCTGTCTCCTTCCCACGGGGAGGCCTGCGGACAGGTCTCTGCGTGGGCTCCGCCCGGGCGCTGTCCAGCTGTTGCTGACTTGGCTCCCTGGGTGTCTCTGCTCTGCCCTTCTCAGTGTTCCCCTCTATAAAATGGGCACAAGGACCTGGCCTGGCACCGCTCGGGGCCCCAAGCCTCAGTCAGCACAGCCTGGCCCACCTGTCGGGTCTACACATCAAAGCCACGAGGCCAGTTGGAATATGGAGCCTGGACCCGGCTGAGAGCCTGGAACCCACCCCAAACCCAGCCCCTTCTCTCCTGCTCCAGCTGCCTCAGGTCACTGCCTCCGGGAAAGAAACGAGGACTCAGAGCACTGGGCGCTGCTGGGGCCAGGAGGAAGGAGAGGTGGGGCAGGGCCGGGGGCCGCAGGTGGCAGGTCAGGGAAGCGTTGAGCGGAGGGACGACCTGAGAGGCCAGAGCAGGATTGGTTGCGGTCGGGGAAGAGGAGCCGGGTGGAGGGCACCGTCCGGGTTTCCACTTGGGGGTTGGTTGTCAATCAGGTCACTGCCTTCTGTGGGCACTTGCAGCTCAACCTTCCCTCTGCCCCCCAACCCCCACCTCTCAAGCTCACACAGAGCCCCAGGCGTGCCAGCTCCTCCACGTCACGGGCACCCTCTGGCCAACCCACAGCCACTCGTGACTCAGGTGGACCTGTGACCCGAGATTTCGGGTGGTTTCACAGTGCTCTGAGCCTGGCCAGTGTGGCTCAGTTGGCTGGACATCGCTGCGTGCACTGAAAGGTTGCCAGTTTGATTCCTGGTCGGGGCACATGCCCGGGTTGTGTTGGGCTGGATCCCAGTGGGCGGCATGCTGAAGGCAGCCAACCCATGATTCTTTCTTCATTGATGTTTCTATTTCTCTCTCTCCCCCTTCTCTGAAGTCAATAAAAACATATTAATAAAATAGCCGAAACTGGTAGAGCGTTGGTCTGCGGACTGAAAGGTCCCAAGTTCGATTCCGGTCAGGGGCATGTACATTGGTTGCCCGGTGAGGGGTGTGCAAGAGGCAGCTGGTCGATGTTTCTCATTGATGTTTCTAATTCTCTATCTCTCTCCCTTTCTCTGTGTAAAAAAATCAATAAAATATATATATTTTTAAATACCTAAAATAAGTAAATAAATAATAACATTAAAAACGAAAGGAAAGACAGCCTGCTCAGTACCCAAAACGGAATGACTGCAGTTTGTCTATCGGTCAGAGTAAAACTGGCTGGTAGAGCTGGAAACTCAGTCACCAAGGACTTTTCCTTGAGGCTGACTGTCGTGTTTAGTGCTCAGCAGAAGCATTCTTCTCATGTTTTGTCACAAAAGATAAAAAAAAAAAAAAAAGACCCCTATTCAAGGAGAGGGAATTAGGAAACATGATAACTTAATGCTTGCTCAGAGACATTATTTTTTAAAATATATTTTTATTGATTTCAGAGAGGAAGGGAAAGGAAGAGAGGGAGAGGAACATCCATGATGAGAGAGAACTTTTGATCGCCTGCCTCCTGCATGCCTCCCACTGGGAACGGAGCTCACAACCTGGGCCTGTGCCAATTGCCGTGACCTCCAGGCGGTCCAAGACATTCTTGAGTAAATGACCTTTCCTTAGCTGCTAGTGTGTGGCCCGAAGGACACGGGTCTAGCACTTTGGGGCCACCGTCTGGATCTGGGCAGGTCGGCAGCCTTTGTTCCGCTGTTGCATGTATGTCATCATTGCGAATGTCAACTCAGTGAGAAGGGCAATCAATGTCTCAGTCCATTACACCAGCACGGACTCTCCAGGCCCCTGAAAGGTCCCCGCTCTGCAGAGCGGCTGTCGGAGCACCAATCCGCTGTGAGCATGGGCTGACTGACATCTAGGGACTTGAGGTTGTATTTTCATGGGCTGTTTGCACCTTTAGAAAAACCACCCTTCCTCTGGGGCCTGCGCGTAGTCCCCAATCAGGCAAGTCCCTGGAGTCGAGACCAAAGGAGAACATTCTTATTTTTGGGGGGTGGGGGGGGAGCACGGTGGTAGAGGTGGTGAGGAGAGGCTGTTGTAAACAGTCTGTTTCAACTTTGAGTTGAACGTCTCATGGCTTTTCATTGCCTGAGCTGGAGCAGGTTTTCATTGGCTGAGTAGTTGCCAATCCTTTTTTTTTTTTTTTTTTAATATATTTTTATTGATTTTTTTACAGAGAAGAAGATAGAGGGACAGAGAGTTAGAAACATCAATGAGAGAGAATCATTGATCAGCTGCCTCCTGCACACTCCCTACCTGGGATGTGCCCACAACCAAGGTACATGCCCTTGACCGGAATCAAACCCAGGACCCTTCAGTCCCCAAGCCGACGCTCTATCCATTGAGCCAAACCAGTCCTGGCTAGATCTTTTTTTTTTTTTTTAATCTTCACTCAAAGATATTTTTTCCATTAATTTTTAAAAATTTTTTATTTTAAAATATATTTTTATTGATTTCAGACAGGAAGGAAAATGGAGAGAGAGAAACACCAATGATGGAGAGAATCATTGATCAACTGCCTCCTGCACACCCCCTACCAGGGATCAAGCCCACAACCTAGGCATGTGCCCTTGACTGGAATGGAACCTGGGACCCTCAAGAACATATCTTTCTCAAAAATCGGGACTATTTTTTTAAATATATATTTTATTGATTTTTTACAGAGAGGAAGGGAGAGAGATAGAGAGGTAGAAACGTCGAAGAGAGAGAGAAACATCGACCAGCTGCCTCTTGCACACCCCCTACTGGGGATGTGCCCGCAACCAAGGTACATGCCCTTGACCGTAATCGAACCTGGGACCTTTCAGTCCGCAGACCGATGCTCTACCGCTGAGCCAACCGGTTTTGGCACAAAAATCGGGACTATCTTTAAAATGCTGCTGGACGTGGGGAAAATTGTTAAAAATTGGGACTGTCCTGCCAAAAGCGGGACGATCTGGTCACCTTACCATAGGCCCATGCTCTATCCACTGAATCAAACCAGCTAGGGCTCCATTGATTTTTTATTTTATTTTTTTATTTTAGAGAATGGAAGAGAAAGGAAAAGACAGAGAGAAGCATCCAAGTGAGAGAAACACTTGGATTGGTTGCCCCCTGCAGGAGCCCCGACCAGGGCCTGGGCCAGGGAGAAGCCTGCAACCTTGACCGGGATCGCACCCGGGACCCTTCCGTCTGCGGGCCGACGCTCTATCCACTGAGTCAGACAGCTAGGGCTGCTTCTAGGTCTTTATTGCCATCGACCCAGAGGCCACGGGTGGGGAGCAAGGACAGCAGGCGGGTCCCCAGGAGGCTGGGGTGGGTTGTCCCCATGCCCGACACTGGTGTCCCCCCGGGAACCCGGCCAGGCCTGAGCAGGGCAGGTGGGCAGCTGGTCACCAGCTCAGGACCCCAGGACAGTACTTGTCAATGAGGCCCTGGTAATAGGGCCGCAGCTGGTCCACGTCCGGCAGGTCGGGACACTTGGTGTAGAGGTCAAACTTGCTGCAGCGAAGAAGGGACGGTGGATGACTCAGGGGAGGCCCCTCCTCACCCCCCCCACACACACACACCGCCCCCCCAGCCTCCGTGGGGGTGGCTGTACTTGAACTCCCGAACCCAGGGCAGCATGGCCAGGTCCTGCTCGCTGCACAGCTGCCGGTAGTCGCCCCCCGTGTGCCACGGATAGAAGGAGTGGAAGCGGATCATGTAGAAGGCCTGCGGACAGGAAGAGGCCACCCCCAGCGAGCGCCAGGCTAGGGGGGTGACAGGCAGCCAGGCGGGGGGCCCCTCCCCACACCTACCTCGGGGGGCAGGGAGAAGTTGTTGAACTTCATCATCTGGTACATGTACTCTGTGGGAGAAAGGGGTCACCACCAGGCACCCAGAGGGACGCCCCTCCTGGGCAGTGCCAGCCCCTGCCAGCCTCACCATCGTGGCCCCAGGACATGAGGACGTTCTCCAGCCCACAGTGCGGCTGGTACATGCCGAGCTCCGAGCTGCAGGGAGAGGGGGTGTGAGGGAGGAGCTCCGAGGCACCCAGGGCCAGCCTGTGGGGCTCCGTGGTTGAACGATGATATATGAACCAGGAGATCACGGTTTGATTCCCAGCCAAGGGCCCTGGCCTGGGTTGGGGCTCGATCCCCAGTGTGGGGTGTGCAGAGGCAGCCGATCTATGGTTCTCTCTCATCGTGGATGTTTCTCTCTCTCTCCCTCTCCCTCCCTCTGGAATCAATACAAATATATTATATTAAAAAGGAAGAAGAAGCAGCACCGTGGGGACCAGCGGGGGCGGGGGCACCTGTATCGAGGGTCCTGCAGGTCGGGGTTGTCCTGGAAGGTGGAGTCTCTGAAAACCACAGAGGCCTGGGGCCGGCAGCCCACGGGGAAGGTGTCGCCGACGACCGCCCACTGGGGAGGGACAGGCAGCCATGGGGAAGCACCACTGGCTTTTCCCCAAGTGAGGGTCCCACGCCCAGAGCTAAGGCTGCCCGGCCCTGTCCCCGCACCTCCACGCCCCTCACCTGGGGCTCCCCCGCCAGAGCCAGGACCTTCCCCAGGTCGTGCAGGAGCCCCACGAGGTGGAACCAGTCTGGGAGGAAGGGGAACAGGGGTGGCGGCGTCAGGGCAGGGGAGGAGGAGGGGGTGCTGGAGTCAGGGCAGGGAGGAAGAGGGGGTGCTAGAGTCAGGGCAGGGGGAAATGGGGGGGGTGCTGGGATCAGGGCAGGGAGGATTGGGGGGTGCTGGAGTCAGGGCAGGGAGGAATGGGGGGTGCCGGCGTCAGGGCAGGGGAGGAAGAGGGGGTGTTGGAGTCAGGGCAGGGAGGAAGAGGGGGTGCTGGAGTCAGGGCAGGGAGGAAGAGGGGGTGCTGGAGTCAGGGCAGGGAGGAATGGGGGGTGCCGGCGTCAGGGCAGGGGAGGAAGAGGGGGTGCTGGAGTCAGGGCAGGGAGGAATGGGGGGTGCTGGGATCAGGGCAGAGGAGGAACGGGCCTGCGGGAAAAGGGCGCCCTGTCTGCCCTCCCAGCCCCAGGGGCAGTGCCTTCCCCACCACAGCAGGGAGGGAGGGGCAGGGGGGCGCACCCTTGTCGGGGTGGGCCTGCCGGATGCCCTCGGCAGTCTGGAAGGCGTGGAAGGAGTTGGGGAAGTCCACATCGGGGTCCGACTCGTCCACCAGCCCGTCCAGCATGTCCACAGCCTCCAGGACGGTCATTCTCTTGTAGGAGAAGCTGCTGAACTGGGCGTGCTGGCCCGGAGGACAGAGTCAGCAGGCCCCTGCCCGGCAGGGCCGCGCACTGGGGCGGGGCGGGGGGCCATCCCCCCTCGGAGCTGCCACGGAGGGGTCAGCCGGTACCTTCCTCCGGACGAAGTCCACCGTCTGGTGTGTGTGCATGAGCTTGTAGGTGGCAAAGACGCGATCCAGGAGTGGGCCGGACTGCAAGCCAGAGGGTCAGGCAGGAGGCTGCCAACCCTACCCTCACCCCCCGGGGTCCACGGGGCGGCGGGAAAGGGCCTTCTCCACGGGCCGGCCCTGTCCCTATGTCATAGGGAAGGACGGGGCGGGTGGAGTGGGCAGAGAGGGTCTGAAACGTGGGTTGGAGTGGGCCAGGGTGGGGCTGGAGAGGGTGTGGGTGCAGGGAGGAGGCACAGGGGGGCAGGGAGGGGCGCAGGGGGCAGGGAGGGGCGCAGGGGGCAGGGAGGGGCGCAGGGGTGATAAAGCTGGAGTGGGGGGTGTGGGGTCCAGGACCCACGAGGGGAGCGGGCAGGGTCCTCACGGTGTAGTTCCGGAAGCTGCCCTGGTCCTTGGCTGCCTCCAGGTCCACCTCAGGCCTGTAGACCAGGGAAGGGTCTGGGCCCTGGTTGGGTGGGGGTTGAACCCGTTTCACCATGATGCCAGCTCCAGGAGGCAGTGGGGACCCCCTCGAGGGCACGAGGCTAACTAAGCGGGGGGAGAAGGGGGGGTCGGCAGCGGAGGCCAGTGGTTGCCCCAGAGCACAGCGCCCCAGCGCACCCATCTCCAGCCCTCGCACCCGCAGAGGCCGAGCTGAGTCCAGCCTGCAGAGCGATGTCAGCAGGGCGCCTGCTTCTGGGAGATGCTGTGCAGGAGCCCAGACCCGGCTGGACCTCCCTCCCGGACCCGGGCACGCAGGGAGCGTGGGGCTGGGCAGCTGACCCGTGCCCAGTGGGACCGGAAGAGGAGCAGCGGGCTGGCCGGCCCCAGCAGGGCGGGGACACTGAGAGTGGTCAGCGGGGCCCGTGGGCACTGGGCCTGGGGACTCACCACAGCCACCTTCATCCTCGGAGGGAGCAGAGCGGCAGCGGGCACGCACCCCACAGGCCATGTGCCCTTATATGTGCCCACTGTTACATAAGTGGCCAACACCACCCACCTCTGGCCTGGGCCCTCGGTAATGAGTGACCATCCACCCTCCTCCTGGCTCAGCGAGTTGATGGGTCAGCACAGGAGCGGCCCAGCCCCTCCTGCCTGAGCTCTGGACTCCCTCTCGGACGACTGGCCGCTCAGGGTGTCCTGAGCTGTGTCCCACAGGCTCCAAACCCAGCCACACCCCCGGGGCCCTCCCCATAGGCCGTGGGACCCCCACCACCCCCATCCCTCAGGCACCTGGGATTCTGGGAATGGCCTTGTTCCAGAAACACTTCCTTTTCCCAGCCGGCGCGGCTCAGGGGTTGAGCATCAACCTATGAACCAGGAGGTCACAGTTCAATTTCCCTCAGGGCACATGCCCGGGTTGTGGGCTCCATCCCCAGTGTGGGTGTGCAGGAGGCGGCCGATCCATAATTCTTTTATTTTTATTTTTTATTTTTTTAAAATATATTTTATTGATTTTTTACAGAGAAGAAGGGAGAGAGCTAGAGAGCTAGAAACGTCGATGAGAGAGAAACATCGACCAGCTGCCTCTTGCACACCCCCCGCTGGGGTTGCGCCCGCAACCAAGGTACATGCCCTTGACCGGAATCGAACCCGGGACTTTTCAGTCCGCAGACCGACGCTCTACCGCTGAGCCAAACCGGCTTCGGCCCATAATTCTTTTATCATTGATGTTTCTTTTTCTTTCTCCCTCTCCTTCCTCTCTGAAGTCAATAAAATATATATTTAAAAAAAGGGGGGGGGGAGGTCAATTGTGGGGAAGGAGAGAGGAGGATGTATGTAATACTTTAAACAATAAAGAATTTTTAAAAAATATATATTTTATTGATTTTATACAGAGAGGAAGAGAGAGAGATAGAGAGTTAGAAACATCGATGAGTCATCGATCAGCTGCCTACTGGGGATATGCCCTTGACCGGAATCGAACCCAGGACCCTTCAGTCCCCAAGCCGACGCTCTATCCATTGAGCCAAACCGGTCCCGGCTAAACAATAAAGAATTTTTACAAAAAGAAACTCTAATACATTTATTTGTTTATTATATATTTTTTATTGATTTCAGAGAGGAAGGGAGAGGGAGAGAGAGAGAAACATCAATGAATGATGAGAGAGAATCATCGATAGCTGCCTCCTGCACACTCCACCCTGGGGATCAAGCCCACAACCCGAGGCGTGTGCCCTGACCCGGAATCAACTGTGATCTCCTGGTTCCTGGGTTGACCCTCAGCCTCGGAACCACACCAGCCAGGGCTATTCTGACCTTTAAAATGGGAAGGAAGCCGTTCCCAGCTGGGCCCCACCAGAACACAGCGGGACAGCCACGTCAGCGAGGAGCAGAGCGGACAGGGTGTTCCCACCGCAGCCCCAGGGGCAGCCCCAGCCTGGAAGCCCACCTCTGTCCACGGCGGGCAGGGAGGGGCCACAGAAAGAGGCTGCCACGGACTGACGGGGTTTACGAAGGGATGTGTTCGCAGGAGGCAAGTTGTGGGCTGCTGCAAGATCAGACGCATCCCTGCGCCGCTGGGCAGGGTCCGGTGGACGGGGCAGCGCTGGGGTGGGGAGTCCCGGGACGAGCGCAGGAATGCTCCCTGGTATAGACATCGCTGTCCACGTTTGACCTGGTCCTGACAAGGGCCTGTACGGGGACCGGCACACAGCGGGGCAGGGAGGTGCCCACCGATGGCTGATGTCAGAACAAGCAGCAGCTGTGATCAGCTGCACGAGGTCTGCCCAGGCCTGCTCGAGGCCACGTCCTGGACCATCTCTCCGGGAGGGAGAAGGGGGAAGGGTCTGTGGAAGGAAGATGCCAAGAGGAGACCTCAGGAGCCGGGGATTCTTGCTAAACTGACGGGACAGGATTCCTGCTGAAGGCGGGGCAGGGCGATGAGCCATCAGGGTGGGGCCTCTGCAAGTACTAGGCGAGACCCCGGGGGTAGGGATGGGTGGGGGGGCCGCTGAGAGGAGCCCGGAGCCCGCTGAAGTCTGTGAAGGTGACGGTGGGTCTCTGTCTGGCTCTCAGGGCGAGAGGTTCTGTTTTGAGTCTGGGCAGAGATGAATTCCAGCAGCACTGGGCCCAGTCTGGTTCTGCAGACACAGCAGGGTCCAAACGCACACACACACCTGCCTGGCACCAACATCTCCATAGAAGAGGCAGACAGCAAAACAAGTCCTGCCAGCTGGCGTGGCTCCGTGGCTGAGCGTTGACCCATGCACCAGGAGGTCAGGGTTCGATTCCCGGTCAGGACACGTGCCCGGGTTGCGGGCTCCATCCCCAGTGTGGGGATGCAGGAGGCAGCCGATCCATGGTTCTCTCTCATCGTGGATGTTTCCATCTCCCGCTCCCTTCCTCTCTGAAATCAGTAAATATAAATATATTTAAAAAGAGAAAGAAACACGACAGAGCTCTTGCTCCTCGAAGGTGGCCTGAGGTTCCAGAAATGGTATCGCTTCTGTGGGACGTGATACTCGGGGGTGAGCCTTCCTAGAGACCAGGCAGGACGCCCCAAGGGAGCCCTGGACAGCGGGGAGCCAACTAGGCTGCTTCCTGAGGATGGACCAGGAAGCCCTCAAAGGAAGGCCTGATGACAAGGCCGGTGTGAACAAAAGCCTAACTGGAGCTGAGGAGCTGCCTGGAACCTCTTACGCCTCAAACCGTTGGATGTTAAAACCTTTGCACGGGGCCCAGAGCAACCTGTGTCCCAGAGGCCTGTGTGCAGAGAGGATGAGGAGCAGGTGTGATGACGACAACTAGATGGGTGACTGCAGGACCTACTGGATGGCTGACTGCAGGACCTACTGGGTGGGAGACTGCAGGACAGGAATGAGAAGTTGGTGAGAGTCGCGTCACTTCGCCATGCTATCCATGTTGTCAGCACCAGCAGCAACGCCTTCCTTCTGCGTCAGCACCCATCGTTGGTCTCCTAAGCAGAGTATGATTTGGGTTTCTGCCAGAATCAGTGATTCGGGAAAAGCATTTAAAAAAAAAAAAAAATCTCGCCGAAACTGGTTTGGCTCAGTGGTAGAGCATCGGTCTGCGGACTGAAAGGTCCCAGGTTCGATTCCGGTCAAGGGCATGTACATTGGTTGCGGGCACATCCCCGGTAGGGGGTGTGCAAGAGGCAGCTAGTCGATGTTTCTCTCTCATCGATGTTTCTAGCTCTCTATCCCTCTCTCCTCCTCTCTGAAAAAATCAATAAAATATATATATTTTTTAAAATCTCAAATAAACGTTTGTCTCTCACGTTGAAAGGCCTTTTCCTTTTAGGTTGACAAGAGGTGTGGCTAAGCAGGAGTAGAAGGCTGTGGGTAGGGCGGCTGGGAGAGGTGGGTCCAGACCTCCAAGGGGGGTGCGAGGTAGGCGGCCGGGGCATGGCCTGGAGCTCAGGGGCCAGGGGGCCCCAGGTATGATGCTTTGACCACAGCCTGTGGCCTCGTGATGCAGCCCAGCCATGCGTTAAGGTCAACAGTTCGTCCCGCCTCAGGGAACAGCCGCCCTGGGCTCCGGGGAGAGGACCTGGTAGCCTGGTTATCGTGTGGGGGTGCACCACGGGGGAATGTCCGTGTGCAGGACCAGGCCACGGGCAGGCCCAGGACTTCGCCCCAACTCTGCCTTCCTGGTCCCGTCTTCCCCGTTCCCATCCCCTCTCCTATGCCCTCCCTGCCCGCCTGCCTCCGACACCCCTCAGTGACCACAGGCCTGGCTCTGAGGCCCGCCCACGCATTCCAGCCTCACTCAGCGGCTTTGGGGCGGCCTCTGCACTCTCTGGGTGTTTTTTGTTTTTTTGTAGTTTTTTTTTTTTTAATATATTTTTATTGATTTCAGAGAGGAAGGGAGAGGGGGAGAGAGAAACATCCATGATGAGAGAGAATCATTGATTGGCTGCCTCCTGCATACCCCCTACTGAGGATCGAATCCACAACAGGGCATGTGCCCTTGACCAGAATCGAACCTGGGACCCTTCAGTCCATAGGCAAACACTCTATCCACTGAGCCACACTAGCCAGGGCCTGCCTATGGTTTTGTCCCTGACCTCTGTGGCTGCAGTAGCTGCCCTTAGAGTTGGGATCATGACTGTACCCCCGTCACAGGGTGGCTGAAGGGGTGACAGGGGCAGATATGGGCACATTCAGTGCTGTGTGAGTGTTTGCTAAATACAAGAAACCACCTTCCTGGACGCTCTATCCACTGAGCCAAACTGGTTTCGGCTCTTTTTTAAAAATATTTTTTTATTATTGATTTCAGACGGGAATGGAGAGAGAGAAACATCAAGGATGAGAGAGAATCGCGGATCGGCTGTCTCCTGCACACCACACACTGGGGATCGAGCCCACAACCTGGGCCTGGGCTCTGACCAGGAACTGAACCGTCACCTCCTGGTTCATAGGTTGATGCTCAACCACTGAGCCACGCCGGCCGGGCTGAAGCCAGGATTTAATCTGACGGCGAGCCCAGCAGGGAGAGGGCCACGCGCACCAGGCAGTGCAGCCCTGGCTCCCGCGGGCCCGGAGGTGGTGCCTGGGTGCTCGGAATGACTTCTGCTCTGTGACCCTAGCAGACCTCGTCCCTCCAAAGCCCTTTCCCACGTGGGGTGCGACTGGCCACCACAGGGGCACACTTGTCCCCTGAGCATGTGCACTGCTGGATGCACAGACCCTGGGCACCCGGACTCTGCCTGCTGACCTGCCTGGGGCCGCACAAGTGCAGGTTTACGTGTCCAAAGCAGTACAAGGTAGCTCGCTGCAGCACGTGGTGGGTGTGGGGGGTCTCTGCTGCCTGCAGGAGCCCTGGGGGCTGGGCTGGGCTCAGCTGCCGCCCTGGGGTTGGGGTGCAGTATCTGGCTAGGGCATGTCCTGCCCCACCTCAGCCATAGCTGTGGGGGCTGCTGGGGTCCATGGGGGCTGGGTCCTGGTGGCCGGCCGACGCCACGAGCTGCCACAGGCGGTGGCTGAGGTTCTGCACCTGGCAGGTGCTCAGCACACAGCCCACCCGCAGGCGCTGGGCTCTGGGCCTTGGGGGGCTCAAGTGCCGATGGGGACCACTCCGGAGAGGCTGACCCACGGCAGGGGTCAGACGAGCGCCCCTCTGGGGTGGCTTGTGGATCACAGGCCGGGGTGCGGGGTGCTGGGGCTGCAGGCCGCTGGCGAGGGTCCTGGCTGGAGGCGCCCTGCAGGGGAGATGGAAAAGGTAAACCTGACAGCCCAGCCGTTCAGGGGCCCTGCTTTCTGCCTGGAGAAGGCCAGGGGGATCCCCAGGTCCTCCTGGGGCTCGGGACCTGGGTTCTGGCTACTCAGCCACTCAGTAGCCCAGGCCCCTGTGCCATTCACTGCGCCTCCTGGGAAAAGGGCACCCCTGGCTTCTGAGGGTCACTGTGCGCGGGGCCGAGTGGCTCCCTTGATTTTGAGGGTAAGCCCTAGCCGCAGGGTTTTCCCCCAATACGGGGAGGAGGGGTAGGGAGGGTATGCTGGGGAAGGGCTGGGCAGAGGGGACCTCCCAGGTGTTTGGTTTCTGCAGCTTCAGCCAGGGGACAGGCTGGTCTGTGCCCCACTCACCTGGGCCGGACGGGCTGCCGGCTTCCGCCCTGGCAGCGGGTCAGTGCTCCTGGGAGCTGCAGGCAGAGGAGGCTGAGGCATCCGAGGGTGACGGGTAGGAGCCAGGCCATGGCGGCAGGCGAATGGCAGCCGGTGAGCAGGCAGATGCGGGGAGTGGAGGGCTGCAGCCACCTTCCGTGGGGAGCCCTCCGCGTGGGGTGGGAGGGCTGGCACCTGCAACCAGTGGTGAGAGGGTCCTGCTTAGGATGGAGCCTGGGCACCTCGGGACCCAAATAGTCTCCCCAGGAGTGGACAGGGTGGGCGGGGCGGGGCACCCTCCCCAGGCCTCCCCTGCCCCCCACTCCCCCTTCCGCTGGCTCCCCAGCCTCCCCAGGCTCCCAGGCAGAAAGAGCGGTGCCAGAGGGGTGCAGTCTGCAGGGCTGGTTCCCACCAAGCGCCTCTCCTCTGGAGGTGGAGGGGGGAGTGTCCCAGCCCACAAATGTGGGGGGCAGAAGAGCCACCCTGGGGCCTGGCCAGCAGCCCTGAGGAAGCACAGCGGGCTGGGCACTCGGTCCCCCACAGAGAGAAGTTCAAGACCCCACAGACCCAGCAGCTGGTTTCCTAAGAGCCTGCTACTGTCCTCTCACCACTGAAGGACTGAAGATTTCTGTGAGCAACTTAAACAAGTAGAGCGTGAGGTCCCCATTGCCCCCTGCGGCTCCGGCACCGCCCCGGGGTGGGGGGCACCCCACGCCTGACTTCTTCTTGTTCACAGGCCGGTGTGAGCGTCACCGAGTACTCAGATGCGAGCAGCTAAAACCCGTGTCTGCTGAGAGCCCTTCAACCCTCCCACTGCTGGCCCTGCTCCCGTGTGTAGGGGTTCTGAGGCTGACTTCATGGATCCTTTAGTTTTTATGTTTATTTTTTAAAATATTGGTTGATTGATTTCAGAGAGGAAGCGAGAGGGAGGGTTAGGAACATCAATGATGAGAGAGAATATGGATCGGCTGCCTCCTGCATGCCCCCTCCTGGGGACTGAGCTCCCAACCCGGGCCTGTGCCCTGACCGAGAATTGAACTGTGACCTCCTGGTTCAGAGGTCTATGCTCAACCACGGTCACACCGGCCGGTCAATGGATCCTTTATTAAGGAGCCACTAGGCGACCTCCCCGGGGACCCTCGTGCTGTGCGCTCACGGATGGGTCTCTGCAGGATGCTCTCCTGGAAGTGGAAATTCCGGTGCAGGGTGAGCCTGTGTTTGTGGAAACTCAGTGTCACACTGTGCCCCATGAAGCTTGTGCCGCCAATCCACTGTCAACCCAACAGACTGGGAGGGGACAAAGACCCATCGCCCCCCGCCTTTTCTTTTTCTCAAATATATCTTATTGATTTTTTACAGAGAGGAAGGGAGAGGGATAGAGAGCTAGAAACATTGATGAGAGAGAAATACCGACCAGCTGCCTCCTGCACACCCCCCACCAGGGATGTGCCCGTAAGCAAGGTACATGCCCTTGACAAGTCAAACCTGAGACCCTTCAGTCTGCTCTATCCACTGAGCCAATCACCCCCTTTTAAAAATATATATATTTTTATTGATTTCAGAGAAGAAGGGAGAGGAAAAGAGAGAGAGAGAGAAAAACAGTAATGATGTGAGAGAACCATGGATCGGCTGCCTCCTGCACGCCCTTACTGGGGATCAAGCCTGAAATTCAGGCAAGTGCCCTGACCAGGAATTGAACCGTGACCTCCTGGCTCATAGATCGACACTCAACCATGAGCCACGCTGGCCGGGCCCATCGCCTTTCGTGGATGACTGAGCATCTCTGAGTCTATCACTCTCTCCTCGTCTTTCAGACCCTCCTCAGTGTTCTCCCCTCAGTCAGGCTCCTGTGAGTGACCCCCCCCCCCATGCCTCCTGCTGAGCACACCCTGGGAGCCCAGGGAACATGTGCTGGATGAGGGAGCCCACAAGTGCTGAGCGTCACTGAGTGCGGTTTTTATCCTGAGGAAGGTGGGGAGTATCGGCAGGTAACCCCACTCCCTTGGTTTCCTTTTACCGTGAGGGAGCAGGGAGAGGGTCACGTGCACATTAGACAAGTGGGGTCAGCAGGGAGGTGGGGGCTGCGGGCTGGGGGGGGGGCAGGCAGGGAGAGATGGTTGGGGAGTTACGGAGATGGCAGGCTTGGGGTGGGGGGCATGTGAGCACTGACTAAGGAGGGTGCGGAGAGGACAGAGCGTGACCCGCCGGTTGTGAAGGGACAGACAGGGGAGGGGGCACGGGGGACCTGGGGACATGATTCTGCAGCTTCTCCCCACAAGCCCTCTGCCCCCCACTCCCCGACTCAATCTGTTGTCCACACGGCTGCCCGGTCGATGGTATTCCTCACCCCACCGATGACGGTGCTTTTAAAAAAATGTTTTCATTGATTTCAGAGGGAGAGGGAGAAAGAGAAAAGCATCGATAGAGAAACATCCATCTGCTGCCTCTTGCACGCCCCCTACCCAGAATCAAGCCTGCAACCTGGGAATGCACCCTGACTGGGGATCAATCCAACCTCTTGGTGCTCGGTGCACAGGACAGTGCCCGCCCGCCGAGTGCTGCCTGCCAGGACTCCTGGAGTTTTACTCTGGGGGTGCAGGTGAGTCTCAGTGAGGGGTGGGTCCCGGGCTCAGGGCATTCTTCCTCAGGACACGTGCTGCTACCAGGGGCCCAAGGTCCCATCTCCCCGAAAGCCCACGGACGGGGCGCCCTCTGGCTGCAGGCTGCTTGCTTTGCCTCTGGGATCTCACAGCCCCTGCACAGCACAGCTGGCATCTGGGGGCACTTGTCTGTGATCCGTGTGCCCTCTGTGGTTCCTTCATTCAGCCTCAGTCGGAGGAGATATTTCTGGAGAGTGGTGGGCTGGCTGCTGAGAGCTGCCCTCCAGTGGAGGTGCCCTGGAGGGTGGGACCCGGGCCACGGCAGGCAGGTGGTGCTTTAGAGAAATTCATGCGAGGCAAGAAAAGCCAGGGTAGCAACTGGCTGGGCTAACAGCTTCGAGGGCAGTTTTTTTAAAAAAATATATATTTTTATTGATTCCAGAGAGGAAGGGAGAGGTAGCAACATCAGTGATGATAGAGAATCACTGATTGGTTGCCTCCTGTGCACACGCAACACTGGGGATGGAGCCCGCAACCCGGGCACGTGCTCTTGCTCAGAGTCCCCTCAGTCCACAGGCCAGTGTTCTGTCCGCTGAGCCAAACTGGCTAGGGCCAAGGGCACTTTTGTAGAGCACCTTAAGGTGAGAGAGAGTGCGTTTAACGCTGGTGGCAAGGGTCACTGGAGAGGAAAAGACCGAGCACCAGGCCTGGGGAGCCACAGCAAGAGGCAGAGAGGAGGCTGTGGAGGGGGGCTTGGGGCGTGGTGATGCCACACACGGCTGACCGGAGGGTGGCTCCTGCGTGTTCTGTGGAGGAGGCCTTTGGGGGTGGGGCCTGGGTTTGAGGAGACTGCGGAGTGGAGGAGAGCTGAGCAGACATCGGCAGCTGGGCAGCGGGGTTGTCCATTAGGCTGGGCCGTGGTGTCCGGTGGCCATCTGCACTGTCAGTGGAGCAGGGCTACAGGAGACGGGTGGGCAGGACTGTGTGCGTCTGGGGTTTGCCAGACAGGGACGGTGAGAACCAGGCGGAGAGGTGGGGGCCACGGCATTGGCAGCTGCCAGGTGAGGGAGCCACACCGGGGGGTGGGGGGTAAAAGAAGGAGCCGTGGGACCAGGGAGGGTCGCTCCCAACAGCAGGGCCTGGGTGAGGGCAGGGAAGGCACAGGACCTTCGAAGGGGGGGAGGAGGCAGGCCGGAGCAAGCACCTCTGAGGAGCACCATGGTCCAGAGCGAACCCCCAAACCTGCCCGTGACCCTAAGGTGCCTCTGAGAGAGCTGCAAAAATGGGCGCCTCAGGGCATGAGGGCTGGGCAGAGCCCGTCCTGGGCTTGGGTGCCAGGCTGAGGACTTCCCAGGGGCACCGCCCCCACCTCCTGCACCTCAGGTGGTGGCGGGACCCTTTTGGCTGAAGGGATGGAAACCAATTCAAGCGGCCGTGACAACACCCGACAGACTCAGGGGAGGCTGAGCCTGGGCCTGTGCACCCAGGTGGGGAGTGGAGCCTGGTGGGCTCCGTTCTCTGGTTGGGTTTCATTCCCTCTCCCTGGCCAGCCCCGATTCGAGGGTGGTGGGCACTGTGGGGTCCTGGGTGTGCACCCAGCCGGGCCTCCAGGGCCGGCGTCTTAAACTCTGCCCGTCACAGCGGGGCCTGCAGCTGCCTTTCTCGTGGTCACGAGTTAAATGTCTCCCCCGCTGTGTGGGGCCTCCAGGGGGGCTGGGAACCCCGAGGGCAGGGCCAGGGTCTGCCCCTGCCGCCAGGTAGGCAGGTCCTGAGGGATGTCCCGGGCCCCTCCGGCGCCCATATGGGGGACCCGCGGGCAGGGCCAGACCCTCTTGCCTCCCTCCCGCCCTCCCGCCCTCCCTCCGGGCTGACAGCGCCGCGGAGAGAGCCCTGGGCTCGCCGACCCGCGGGAGCCGCCGCCACTGTCCCCGCCCGGGGGCGGGGCCTCGGCCTGGAGCTCCGGGTGAGGGCGCAGCCCCGCCCCCAGCAGGAGCCCGCGGGCATGGACCAATGGGAGCGCGTCTCTCCGGGCCCTGCCCGGGGAGGGGGCGGGGCGAGGCCGCGCAGGCGCAGGGCGCTCCCGGGCGGGCCGGCTGGCTGGGAAGATGGCGGCGGGAGCTCTGGCCGCCGCCGCCGCGGAGCGGGCCCCGGGCGTCCGGAGAGCGCGGGCAAGGGCGGGGGCCGGGCCATGAGCACGCCGCCCTCGCGTCCCCGAGCCGCGGAGCCCGCCCGCCCCTCGCCATGGCGCGGCTCGCGGACTACTTCGTGCTGGTGGCGTTCGGGCCGCACCCGCGCGGTGAGTGCCGGCGGCCGTAGAGGGGCGTCGGGGCGGGCGGGCCGAGGCCGCCGGGCCGGCGTCGCGATCGTCCGGGGCACCTGCCGCGCCGGGGCGGGTCCGGAGGTCCCGGGTCCGAGGCGGACGGGCGGGCGGGGAGAGGGTCGGGCCGCGCCTGCCGCCGCACGCGGGGCAGAGCCGGCCAGGCAGCGCCGCG